GAGCTGGGTTACAAAGATTAATAAAGACATATGAACTTGCTCTCAACTTAGTCTAGTGGGAGAGACAGACATGTAAACTGATAATTGAAATACAGTGTGATAAGTGTTGCAGTAGATATTATAACGATGGTAAAATTCGACTAGACCACATCTGGCGGAGGTAAGAATGAGCTTAGATATTAGATCGCCTATGGCTCTATGGGGCCAACCACTTAGTCCAGCCTTCCTCAGAGGCCCCTTTCTGCCCTTTGATGAGATTTCAAAATGGGAAGCTTTTCTTGTTTGAGGGGAGGGGTTGTTAAAGTTACGGAGTAATTTTGAGGAGAAGGGGATCGTGAGAACCTGGATCCTGAACAAAAACCAAAAAAAGCCAAACCTACACCACCGAGTCAATTCTGACTCACAGTGACCCTATAGGACAGAGTAGAACTGTCCCATAAGGTTTCCAAGGTTTTCCACAGTGCCACCAGGGCTCCAGATTCTGAACAGGTGAGGTATAAATAGGTTCTATTAGCTTTTGTACAAATACTCACTTGCAGATTCCTGGGTCATGGGGGAAGGGGGAAGAGGAAGCTAAGGATGAAAAAAACACTTTTTATTTTTTTTTGCCCTTAAGGAGTTTATAAACTAGACAAACAATTCAACAAATAATTTAAACACTACAATTTACTAAGCAATGATAGAAGTATGCCCAGAGCACTATGGGAGACTAGTCAAAGAGGTGGTACCTGGGAGAATTTTAACTTAACCAGACAAAGAAAAGGAGGAGAGTGTTCCAGCTGAGGGTTCTGCTATCTTGGAGGTATGGCAGGTGCAACATCAATGATCCGCTCTAGTGAATCCTGCTCACAGTGCCAGTTTTGCAAACCAGTCCAAGGAGACTAAGATAATCCACTTCTGGCACCAAATTATGCCGTCAGGGCTCACTCTAGTGAATCCCGCTGTCGTCACCAATTTTGTGAACCAGTCCAGGGAGGCTAAAATCATCCACTTCTGACACCAAATTGTGTGGTGGATAAAATACCACTCCATACGCCAGCTGCATTCTGTGGAAAACTCAGCTTCCCTTCCTTGTTCAGTTCAGGCCCCAGCTGTCCCTGCAGCCCTTCTCTATCTCACTCCCAGCCACCAGGGATGGTTCAGCAGATACAGGCCGCAAGCTCAGGAGTATACATGACTCTTCAGACCAGCCAGCTCCTTCTCAGGCCTCAGAGGTTTTATCAGCTGCACCACATGGCCACGATAAATTACATCATACCTCCTGAGGCTTGGTCCACATCGGGCCCCCAGGTGAGCCTCTGTCCTTGGAGATCTCAGGACCCAAGATCAAAGGCCAAATGTTTTTCTGCGAGGTGATCCCACACTTTGCAGCAGGAGAAACACTGAATCCAATATTTTTGGAACACAATGTTTAAGTGGAGTTGAGACCGGAGAGAGGCCTAAAACCAAGTCTTGGATAACCTCACACTCCCAGCAAAGGGATTTAATTCTAAGAGAATTAATTGAAGGGAAAACAAAGGAGTGACCTGACCTGGTTTGCCATGTTACTCTGTCTTCAGCGTAGAGGCTGCAGTTGATGACGGACAAAACCAAGGTGGTGGTAGTAGGGATGGAGAAAAAATAAATATAAAAAATATTTAAGGGATAAAATTAACAGAACTTAGTAGTTGAATTGCAGCCAGGGAAGAGATGGGGAAACTGGGAGCGACGGAGGGGCTGTCTGTGATGTTCAGTTTTCCATCTTGGAGGACCATGTGGATGGTGAGGAGGAGCTCGTATGGGGCAGAAAGGACTAGGGGATGGTTTGGAACATGTTAAATTTAGAGATGTCTTTCTGATATCCAGGTGGAGATGCCCAGCAAGCATTTGTTTGCGTGAAATGGAAATTCAGGGCAAAGACAAGGTGGGAAGCACTGGTCTGGGTATCAGCAAGTAAGCTATGATAGATCACCTGGGGAAGAGTAGGTAGAGTGAAAAGAGGCTGAAGACTGTTAATTCCAATGTGGAAGGGACAGGGGAAGGGAGGAAGAGGTGACCACAAAGGAGACTGGATGGGAATGGTCAAAGTAGAAGGATCAAGAGACAAAAGTATCATAGAAGCTAAGGGGGAAGTTTCAGGGAGAAAGTGGTCAAAGCCTCACCAGGTCCAGTGAGATGGAGACTGAAATCTGGATTGGATTTGGCCATATGGAAAGGTGCTGGTGGGCTTGATGGGAATGGTTTCAATGGAATGGTGGGTGGGGGTTGAAGCCACATGGCACTGGGTAGAAGAATAAATACAAAGTGTACTACTTACTTTTTCAAGAACTCTGGACGAGGCTGGGAGAAGAGGAAGTGGGGGTGCAGAGTCAAGGGAGGATATTTTTTCCCAGGAATTAAAGAGACTGAAGTTTGTTTGTCGTCTGAGGTGGGAAGGCTGAAGATATAGGGGAAGGAATTACAGGAAGTGATGGTTAAGGTCCTACCAAGGAGCCCTGGTGGCACAAAGTTAAATGCTCGGCTGCTAATCAAAAGGTTGGCAGTCTGAACCTACCCAGCCACTCCACAGGAGAAAGATCTACTCCCATAAAGATTGCAGTCCGGAAAGCCCTGTGGGGCAGTTCTACTCTGTCACACAGGGTAGCTGTGAGTTGAAAATCCACCTAACAGCAACAACAAAGTTCCAAGCAGGTCCCTGGGTGGTGCAAATGGTTTGCATTTGACTGCTAACCTAAAGGTTTAAGGTTTGAATCCACTCAGCAGCTCCACAGTAAAAAGCCCTGGCACTCTGCTTCTGTAAAGATTACAGCCAAGAAAACTCTGAAGCAGTTCTAGTCTGTAACATATGGGGTTGCCATGAGTCAGAATCGACTCAATAGCAACAGGGTTGTTTTTTTTTTAAGGTCCTAGCACAGGTGGGAGGTGACAGAATCAAGAACACTGGGAGGATGACTGACTGATACTGGAGGGAAGATGATGAGATGATGTGGGATGTTGGAAGAGTTCACACCCAGCTGCCTCACTTTCTTCAGTGAAGTTGAGAGTGGGGAGGGGCTGGTGAAAGGTGTAACTGCTACTACAGGGTGGGAGAGGGAGAATGCAAGGACTCTCAGCAATGCAGGAGCAGCTGAGGCAAGAACACATGGAAGCAGCGGAAGGGTAGGTGACATGGGGACACTGGGAAGGGGATGAGAGAACTGAAAGAACAGAAATAGGAAGCAGGAATGGACATGACAGTGTTCCAGGACAGCAAAGGGCTGCACACTCAGGTTTGGCAGAGGTGGGAGATCAGGTCAGCAGGGGCAGATTATGCAGGGCCTTGAGAGGCAAGCAGACTTGTCCAGCTGAGGGAAAAAACCACTGTGAGGAAGTTAATCTGACATGGAAATTTCCTCCCATACTCTCCTGTGCTTCCACACCACCCCACAGGTTTGCACACGCTGACACAACACAGATAATCTGCCAGATATCTATCAGGTGCTCAATTCGTCTAAGTCAGGAAAGCCACCAGGGAGGCTGCTGCAATTGTCCAGGGAAGAGCCAAGTGAGGCCCTAGGCCAGGGCCATGGCTATTAAGGGTACAGAGAAGGAAGATGGTGAAGGAACAATTACAGAATATTCCAAGGACCTCAGCCCAGTAGTATACGTGACAAAAGTGACACCAAAGGATGAGAATTTTTAAACAAGTGCGCCACCTTCCAGTTAAGAACCTGAAGTGAAAGTACTGTGGAGAACATTAAAAAAAAAAACAAAAAACCCAAACCTGTTGGCCTCAAGTGAATTCCAACACATAGCGACCGTATAGGAGAGAGTACAACTGCCCCATAGGGTTTTCAAGGAGCAGCTGGTGGATTCCAACAGCCGACCCTTTGGTTAGCAGCCAAGCTCTTAACCACTACACCACCAGGGCTCCTAGGAGATTCCTAACCTACACTTGCGAGGAAAGTCTTTCCTAGAAGGAAGGAAATCTGAATGCTAAATCAGCATCAGCAAGGTGAAGAGTAGAATGGGTGAGGGTCTCATGTGAAATAATCAGCATTAAAAAACAACTTTTGAGGAATTCCAAGTTTTGAATGACTGGGTACATGCGGGAGTAGCAGGCAGTGAGGATAGTGAATAGCTAAGCACAAGGCTTAAGGACAGGGTAGGCCAGAATATACAAAACCTCTATTAACCATTCTTGATTCTTGTCCTAAGAACCCTAGGGAGCCAGTGAAGGGTTTTAAATTTTTAATAAAACATTACCTTTTTTAACTTGTCATGTTTTAGAGTTCCTCTTAAATAGGCCCGAAGTTTGGGGTTAAGGACTGAAACTCAGGGAACCCTTATCAGAGAAAAGCAGTAGGAGCAGCAAACCCTGTCCCCTAGAGAAATACTGAACACGGCAATTTCAAGGAGGGAAAATGAGCCTAAGAGGTTACTGCTGAAAAAACCCAATCTTTGGTGATGAGGTAAAGTGGTAGGCATCAAGCTGGAGATGTTCAACAGAAAAACAGATGCAGAAGAAACAGCACTGTTGTCACTGTTTGGCTGCAAAAGCAGCAATGTCAAGAATGCAGTTTTGTAAATGAATGACTACACAAACTTTATTAGTTAATGATAGTGAGAAGGCGGCGGGAATACCGGCAATCTCAAGAAGGTACTGATATTGGCAGTATTAATTGGTACAACTTCTACAGGATGTACTATGGGCAGAATTTTAAATGTGCATATCCCGGCTAAAAGTCTGCTTCCGAAATATTACATAGTAACTTGAAAATTGGTGCAACTAACAGAATCAGCACTGTTATTAGCATAACTGCCCTCAGCAGAAGTTCGACATACTTTTAGCTGATTCATCAAAAGGTAAATTAAAGGCCTGTGGTAATACTGTTCACCATCATAAAAATCTCAAATGTTAACTCAATGGAGGCATTACCTTTCACTTCCCTAATCTTTTTGTATCTGATTTTTATTGAGACCAAAAAACAAAAAAAAACAGTTATTCGCTTTCAAAATATTTTATTGGAACTCATTTTATAAAAAAAAAAAAAAAAACAGGCGCTTGTATAGTGACTAAAATTTCTGAACAGTTTTTTTTTCACAAGTTGTCAGCTGCTCATACAGGTAATACAGGAAAGAACAGATGCCAAGTTTCTACATCTGTCCAACACCAGATAGAAGACATTCTTTGTGCCAACAAAATCTTATAATTTCATAAAAGGAACACGTTATAACCATGTAGGCAATTAGTAAAAGAAAAAAAAATAAAGCAGGTGGGCAGGTGAGATGCCACAGAGTTGAGGGAGGGAAGAGTGGATCAGGTGGTTTCAAAGATCCTCAGAGAAAAGCTCAGAGACTCTAGTCCACCAGGTCATCATTCCCACTCTGGGGCTGGTTGCCAAGATGGATGACACTCACCACAGCAGCCATGGAGAAGGCACATGGCTCTCTTTTTGTCACAGCCTGTGAATTAGGTATCAGGAACCACCACCACCAGGCTTGCCAGCCATCTGACAGCACTTCTCCAAGGAGGTAGATTCCAATTCCTTAGGCCTTCAGTCATCAAGTTAATGCAGACACTGTGGGGAGGACACTGCCCCTGGCTTGAGCTTCCAGCACTCACACTAGAAAGAGGGAAACAGAATAACCAACCAGGAGATGAATGAACAAGAGAGAGTTAGGACCCTTGTTGGCCCTTTTCAGAAACTAAAGTACCCAGTTCTCCAAATGAGTCAGAACTTATTGTTGACATCAAGACCAGCGTCAGAGACTCTAGTCTGAGAAATCATCATTCCCAATTCAGGGATTGGAGACTTGGATCAAGATAAGACATTCTGGAAAGGAATCTAGTACACGGCCTCAGTAGGTATAAAGATGTAGCAATGAAGAGTTCAGGGATGGTCTAAGTGTGAGAAAAGGAATAGGAAATAAATACAGAACTGCAGAGAACACTCGAGGCGGCAAACATGCTTGAGTAGAAAAACTGCCTATATATATATATGTAGGATTACAAAAGATTAAAGAATAAGTAACAGTCACAAGAAAAATGTAAACTAGTAAGTGCAATTTTTGCATGGTTGCACACGCTCATTAGGAAATAAACCCTACAGTGCCTCGTGAAGAGATAGCTTGGAACAAATAATATGTAGCGGCATTTGGATAAAGAATACTCACCTTTATCCAAAGATGACACCCTAGTGGACGTCTTAAAATCCCTAAAAGGTGAGAAATGAGTAGAATGAAGGATTACTAAGGGTTCCTGGCCGTCAGCTTCTCCCCAAACCCAGGCACCAAGGATTCCCGCCCAGAGTGAGAGAGTAGGGATGTCAGCGCGCTGCGGTGATGGCGTCAGCGAGACACTCAGAATCACACGGAGTCATCAGTCACCCCCGTCCTCCCACCTGGCGACCACCACCCCACCTCGCACAGCATACTCACCCGTGTGGCGCTGCAAACCCACGTGCAGTGCTCAGGAGCCTGGGAAGAAAGCAATGAGTCAGCAAAGGCCGGAGCGACTCCGGCCAAGTTCCCCTTGCCCCGGGCTGGGTCAGTTCCGAACAGTGGCGTCACGGAAACATCAGAAACTCTAGTCTGTAATGGTAATTCATCCTTCTCAGCCCGGGACTACATCCCATCACCCAACAGAGCTCCGCCGTACCTGCACGCAGCGATGTGCCAAGATGGCGCGGGGCGCCATGGCCGGACGCCCCACCCTCGCTCAGGGGCAGCCTCTGCGGCGGGCGCCGGGGAAACGAACGAAATCCCACATTCAAGTCCCACACGCCTTGCTACGCAAAGGAGAAAAAAGACTTACAAAACCCGGGCCAAGACTATTTATGATGGCGCAGGGGTCGGGGACCTGACACGCATGGCTGTCTTCTTAGATGCCTGATTCGACCCGCGGCATTTTCGCCGTCGCTCTTCAAATAGGAATAAAACAGGGTGAAAGAGAGGTCATGGAAGTATGTTTCACACTCTTCTGAGCAAATATTCGGAGGTGCTTTGTGAATTTTTGAAAAACAAAAAACAGGTGATCTGACTGGCCAGACGAGAGAAAGCCCCTGGCGCCGCGGGACGCGCGAGCGGGCGGCGCTCTGCCGCCCCCTCCCGGGTTGTCCAGTCGTCTCGGCTGTGTGGGACCGCTGGGAGGGGTTAAGTGACAAGGACCTTGGAGGCCGTTAGGACACATAGACTCCTCCCTCCTCCTCACCCGTCCCAGCTTGGGGTCCGGTCACCCTGGAGGATGGTCACTCCGCTCCGTCTAGCGAGAAAAATCTACCCGAGCCTGCAGATTTGTCAGGCACATTAAGCTTCATGTCCTTTTCATGAGCAGTGTGTGGCCTGGGAGTTGGCGAGAGGCGAGGGAAAGTGTTCCGTACTCTGAATACTACTGTAGGTCACATGGGGATTGTGAGCAAACCGAATTGGGGAGGGATTGTTGCCAGGCCCTGTTCTTAGCCATTTGCTCTTTGCCTTTAATTCACCAATTTGTGTGTTATCCCAAAACCCACCTTCCTAGCCCTTTCCTTACCTCCCTTGTTTACAAATACAGATGTTTGGTGATACGTGTTGGCATCCTTTTTTCATGTTTTGTAAGAAAGCCACATATAATAGGGTGATTTGGGGGCTACAAAACATGCAAAATCAATCTCCTTTTTGAGTCATAATTTAGGTGCAGTGAACATAAGAGTACAATTTTGGAAGGAGGCCATTGTGGGTGCAGGAAATAACGTATTTTCACAAATAACGCACACACAAATAGCGGGCCCATACCATAACGCCGGGCACAGCTCGCTTATGAAAATAGCAAGGGGGGTTACACAGATAGCTCAAATACGGGATATTCTTTTACTTCCTCCCCTGCAATTATTTTTCCCCAAAGTTTTGACCTTCCATCAAAATCTTTTCCAAGAATCCTATAGAGGTTTCCAAGTTCCCAGGGGCTGAGTTCCAGTTGTGACTGATATTGCAAAGTGATTGCTTTTAAGTTCCCAGATGTGTGTAGGTAGGCAATAACTTCTGATGTTGCTTCCTAATGAACCACTTCCCTAACTAGGGAGTCATGAACTTAATTGGTTCAGACTCAGGAATTTTCCTTTTTGTCCCCATTAAGCTGTTACTGGAGATTTCCCCAACCTCTTAAATCATAGGTCCTGCCAGTCACTCAAACCTTTAAGGCCTTCCAAGCCTTCAGGTTTCCATTCACCAGCAGAAAACTGCTTACCACCAACTTCTGCCCCAGAAGCAATGACACCCTCCTGTACTCCATTACCCCCTTCCCCCAAAATAAAATCAGGAATAGCCTCTGGTACGATGGTTCTCACCTTTGGCTGCACATTACAAACACCTGGGCAGCTTTAAATGTATGCAAATTCCTAGGCCCACTTCTGAATTGGTCTGGGTGAGGCATCTGTTTCTTAGCTTCCCCAAATGATTTTAATATGCCACTTGGGTGGAGAACGATGGTTCAGAGGGCTTGAAGCTAAAGGACTTGTTCCCTTGACTGCTTGGCAGTTAAAAAAGGAGAGCCCCCCGTTACTGTTGCTACAGCAGTTAAATTGCATTGTGCTGTGATCAGAGACTATAGTATAATATTGAAGGTTCAGCTATCTTGTGAGTAAAACAGGTCTTTAAGAACTAGCCCAGGAACCAAAGGCATTCTTACTACAGTATATTCCTTTTACAAGCTTTCAAGGAGGGACTCCCTATACTGTTATTCTTAAAATGTTTCATTTTCTCAGAAGGCAAAGATATTAGTGAAAAGTTAACAGTGGACCTTTAATCTGATTCTGGAGTATTTATTTCCAGGCTCAGTTTTTGGGAGGAAGGGAGTTGTGGTTCTCTCAGGCTAGACGAGGTGCTAAGCAGGAAGAATGCCCTAGGAAGGACCTGTGGGACAAACCTCATGACCTTGATCTTCCTAGTTTTATGCTGTGCAGCTTTTCTCATAATTTTGTTATTGTTCAAAAATTGCTTTTGTTTTTAAAACATAAGGGCAAAGCAGCTGCTGATTGCTAAACTTAGGGTAAAACCATCACTTAGACAGGTACAACTGAACAGCAACAGTATTCAGACAGTGGAAAAAAACCTCGTCCCCCCAAAACTGTTGCTCTCCGATCTAGGCCTGGATGCAGCTGAAGTGACCACCTCCACATACTAACCTGCGCAAAAGCTTTAGAATACTAATTTAGAGGATGGTGGGGTGAAGATTCCTAAGGTGACACAAAGAACCTAATACAGCAGCACCTCACCCACCTCTCCTTTGCTGCCAGGGGCCCAAGCTCTCAGCTTCACTCAAGACTGCACTTGGATAATTGCAGCTAGTGTGACCACAGCTGGAGATATTGCTGCTTATTTCATATCGTCGCTGAAAATGACTTTAAAACATTGGAAGAGAGGCCATTCAAGTGACATACTTTATTTTAAAAGACTAAGTAATTTGCACTTGGTAGCAGCTAGAATTTACAGAGCCAGGGTGCTTCATCCCACTCCATAACTTACAAGCTAATTAAAAGCCTAGAAAAGTCACAGGTAAGGAGAAATGAAGCTCAAGGGCTATACATAACACTAAGTGCAGGTAGGAGAGCAAGGAGCCAAGAACCACCCTCCACACTATCTCTGCCTTTCTGCCCAGTCAACCCACACCTTTAACACCCTTTAGTGGGCCCCATCCCTATTTTTCCTAGAAACAAGCACCATTCTAATAAAAATGGGCACCTGCAATTTTTGCTTTCTCCCTAACAAAGATGTCATTCACCTCCCACAGTAAGTCTCAACAAAAATAGCCACAGCTTTTGGTATATGTACCCCTGCCCCGCGAAGCCGTTGTCCCTTTCCCTGTCCAAGGAATTCAAACATACTGAGAAGGTTCATTAAACAAGTTGCCATCAAGTTGACTGATTCATGGCACTCCAATGTGTATCAGAACTGTGCTCCACAGGATTTTCAATGGCTGATTTTTCAGTAGATCACCAGGCCTTTCTTCAGGTGAACTCAAATCTCCAAACTTTTGGTTTGCAACTCAGCCATCACCCAGGAACTGAAAGCCCATTATCCCTCCCCACGTACAAACAATAGAAAAATTAACACATTTTTGATCTTTTATTATTCAACTTTAAGTAAACAAATTATAAAAATAAAACATTCATCTTTCTCATGCTTTGCACAGCAGAAAATTGGACAGAGGGTGGCACTGTTGATTCAGAGATTGAGAGAAAACAAAGAATCTTATAGTACTAACTTACATAAAATGCAAACAATTCCAATGAACACTAATTATACGACAAAAAAAAAACCACAGCTAGTTATCAGGTTCAGCTTAACTACATATACAATGAAGAAAAACAGAAAGCTAAAAGAATAACAAATATAGGGCAATGCAACGTCCTTGAGTTCTAACCGTTTCAAAGAACATAGTAACCAAACCCGCAAAGGGCCCTAATCCACCTCCTCAATGGTGGGGCCAGATGCAGAGGCGCCTCGGGGAGCCTGAGCTCCAAAGCCACCAGCTCCAGGGCCACCTGCCCCCTGAT